TCACCAGGTTGCCAAAAAAACTAGGATTAATAATTTATGATTTCAGGTTTTATGACCAGTAGTCTCTTAGTCTCATTTCTAATCATCAGTATAACATATTTTGTGCATTTTGAAAATATTCTACTTGTTATATTTCAAACAAATGATCCAGTAAAAAATATATCTGATCTTAAGTATAAAATGTAACTTTATATTATGATTACATTCGCTTTAAATAAACGTCACAATATGTTTGTTATATTTAATAAGATAATATTTAAAGATTGGCCAGCATTAAACCACTGTCTATTTATAGCTTGTTTTGCCCACCTCACCACATCAATACCTTTATTGATTTATTTATGTATGTATTTATTTATTTTGTATAGGCTGCAGATAAGGCCTTTTAAGGTGAAATTATTTCCATCTACTAAGGTGGGGGGCATAGTTCTATGCTATTGATGTGTTTAATGGAGCCTAGGTGGAAATTCAACTGAAGAAACTGATTGTTCCACCTGCGACACAGCCAATCAGTTTTGAACCACACCTCTGCGAAAGCCAATCAGCTTCCAAAGCTCATCTTAAAAGGCCTCCGATACGCACCTGTCTGCTCCTGTGGGCAGGCAGCAGATGCGCTGTGTGACTTCATTCAGATGACACTGTTTCAACACACCTCCAGCCCCTCCCCCACCTCCGTAGCTAAAGCTTAGAGAGTCATTCCTCCCGGACTCTTACTGCGTTCCCCGTCTCATCTTAGTTTTTCCTCTCCACTGTCGCTTCATGCTTGCTCATCATGGACAGGTTCTTTCAACCTGTGTTATCCAACTGGACTGCATCTTCCTGAGTGAAGCTCTATTATCAGCTCACCGAATCCGCTGGATCTCCCCATAAAGCTCAGCATACCGTCTCACTAACCAGCAGTCTACAGACTGACCAACTTTATCTATCTCCACTCCACCACCAGTTTCAGGCCTGGGGGGGAAACAGCCCTTATTTTTTGCTCCTGTTCATGCATATCTATCAAAATTAACTGCTATGTTTCCTGTCTGAGTGCCAAAGACAAAGTAATTGTATCAGTAAATTTCTCCTAATTGTCTTTCTCCTTGTGTGAGTTTTTCAGTTTGAATTTTTACACTTATTTTTTTTTATAAAACAAAATGTTCAAAATAGAGAACTTTAGCAGTAAAGCATCCCTTGGCTTTAGGTCTTACAGCTTGTAGGTAGAAAGTCTGGGACATTAGGTGTACATTATTAACAAAGAAAGCCTTTGAAAGAGACTATACCTTACAGAGACACTGCATAGGCACAAAACAAGTTGTCTCTTATCTATGTTCAAATACACTGATAAATCAACATGTTTACCTGTAAGGATGAAAAGAGGTCTGAGCCTGTAAGGTGGGATAAGATGATTTTCATCTTGCACTCAGAAAAAGGCCCAGCTGAGAGAGGCAACCTGCTTTACAAATAGGAGATGCACTGCTTAGATAAAAAAGGATTATAGAATTCAAGCCTCACATGTTATCTAGCATACGTAGCATGAAATCCCTGCAAATCTCTTTGAAACTCACACTAACAAATGTTTTCTCTGCCCAAAGTATGTGTATATATATATATCTATGTATATATAATCTGTGTGTGTGTGTGTGTGTGTGTGTGTGTATGTGTTAGATTTTGTAAAACCAAAGATCTAAGACTATAACCACTAGGCCACAAGATAAGATTAAAACTTTGACCTGAAAACTTAAATAAATACCTAAACATTTCAAAGTCTGGATCTCTCACAGAGAGAAATCTAAAATGTTGGTAAAATATAAAATTCTGCTCATATTATGCAAAAAGAAAAAAAAAAATCCTTTTAGAAATTTGTCCTATTTTCTTCATAAATTTTTTACTGTCACTGAAATTTTACCCCCATATTTTAATAAACTTAACATGATGCATTTTCATTAATTTAATATAGACTAATTGATTAAAATACTTAAATATTGGGTTTATGTATTTTAAATTAATAAAGTAATCTTGATCAAGATTAATTTACACCTAAATTAATTTATCTAGAATAAAATATATAAAGTTGATCTGTTTTAAATGCATAATAATCAGCTTGCACTTATGCAATTTAAACAATTAACGTTATGTATTTCAATTACAATGCTTTATTAATACTTTAGTCATAAACATTATGATTATATATTTTAAATAAATAACCCGTATTTTTGTAAATTACTATGAATCATGTAAGGTTTATTTGATACATTTGTGTTAATATTGTCTTAAAAAAAGTAAATAGGACTTTTTTAATGTAATGAGTGTTCATTACTCTTAAAATTTGGCTGAATTATTTCTCTGTGTGAGAGTAATCTTTATCTCCTCTGTCAATGCTGGTACTTACTGTAAATTCTTGTTTCAGTCTGTTAATCATCATAAGCTTGGCAAAATTATAAGGTTATTTCAACCTGGAGAGACTCACACAGATAATCAGGACTTTTATTCAATTCAATTTAGTTTATTTATCTAGCGCCAATCCACAAAAACATACCACCCCAAGGCCCTTAACATAGAGCACCCAACCAGATCATATTCAGATTGATCAACAATGTTCTATCTGAGTACTGTAAAATCAGCTCATTGCATCGACTCATTCATTCTTCTGTAATCAATCACACTGAGCATGCATATATTGAGGTGGAGAGGAAAAACTCCCTTTTAACAGGAAGAGACCTCCGTCAGAACCAGCCCCTCTGATCCAAAGATAACTTCAATTTTAAGTCTAAATTGTAATACGTAAAACTGAAAGTCATACAGGTCTTTTTGTCCTCAAGACATGCCTTGGATGTATGTAATGGTTTATGGCAACAGCTGATCCGCTTTTGAAATTTTATACCTGGTTTATATGGTCTAGTTTACATTTCCCGTTCTCCAGGACTTGATGTTGTCTTTGATAGTATCAGGTCCTGGTTATGTCCTTTAGCTTTAAATGTAAGTTCTTGTCCTATTTATAGCTTCATACTTAAAGTAGATGACTGCTGCAGACTCATCTCAAAGCAGGCATTACAGTCAAGACGCATGTTAATGAATATCTGATGTATATAAAATATTTTATTATTTTTTCTAATTTTTTTAGTTTTTTTTTTAAATAAAAAATTTTTTTGACATCTAATTTTTTTTTAATACACTCTAATAATCCCAGAGGGAAATTACTTCTCTGCATTTAACCCATCCACTTGGCGAGCAGTGAGCTGCCATTGTGAGGCCTCCGGGGAGCAGTTTGGGGTTAAGGGTCCTGCTTAGGGAGCCAGAGTGAATAATAACAATAATACATGAATAATACATGAATAACACCAGGTTTGTACTTTTACGCTGTATTCGAAATGCCATGATTCCGGCTAGCATGATCACACAAACAGTCTCGAGTGCTACGAATTTAATTATTTAATTGACTTCTATACTGCACAATTAATATGCAAGGCTAATGACAAATTATTAACATTCAACTGACAACAAAATAGTTTTTAAGTAGAGAAGGAGGCTACAGTATATCCTGAGGAGATGTGGTAAACGCCCTACCAGTTGTAAGGACCATGAGAAAGTCAATGTATGTCTATGTGTATGGCATCCAACTTTGGAACGGTTTAGAAACTAACCTTAAACCATGCTCATCCATTTACCATATTCAAAGAAATATTGTTTGCAAAGTACAAAATATTGTTTGTAAAATACAAAACAAAAGTCTGTGAATAAAAATTTATCAAACTTGATTATATATTAATCATTGGTACCAGAAATGTTGTGGCAGTTCATAGTTAAAAAGAACAAGCTCAAAGTTCAATTAACACAGATGAAAAGGAACTAGTTCACGTTCATAGTTCACAAACCTATTTATGAACTACTTCAAGTTCACACAATAGAACCTCTTATTTCATGTGTGATCGTTAGATATAGAAAGAAATGGAAACTACTCAATGCAGTCAAGGTATACTGTGTGTGTAGTGAAGCCTTTATTTGGCCAAATTACACTGAACTTTAGAAACATACAGGAACATTCAAGTTCTGCTGAAAAGGCCTGTATCAAAACTATTTCTTACGTTCCTCATTCAATAGCAGATACGGATGCTTTAACTCGATGTGTCATTTTAAACTGAAGTGGATGTGGCTGATGTAAGGACTTGTTTGTTAAGTCCTGGTGGGCACAGTTTGCACATAAAGTGTGTTTTTTTTCTGTCAGTCTTCCTTTGTTAGTTTATAAAACTCTGTGAGTTGCTCTGCAAAACTGGAATCAGAAATACCAGAATTTAAGTCTGAATCGCGCTCACTAGTACTAACTTTAGACATGCTGGTATGTTTCCATAAAACCTGATGTTTTTCAATGAAAAGTGTTTTTATCAATTGAACGCGAACTTGTGCTGTGTGTGCGTGTTGCTCATTATGCTCAGAGTGAATGTCGCTCTCGTTCACATTCATTAGTTCAAAACTGGTCCGTTCAGTTCACCGTTCACAAAAAATCTGAACATATTCAGTGAACACCATTCAATTAACATGTTCATGCACAACACTGGTTACCAGTGAAATTTGCAAGTAGACTACCCAGGTGGTATGTTTATCACCATTGCTGGTGTTTGTAACTAAAGCTTACTCTTTTTTTCAACAAGTTGATTATGCTTGTGGTATTGCTCTCATCATTGTTGGCATGGAAAAGTATGTAACATATAATTGTATGTAAGGATTTCAGTGGTGTTCTAAAATTTTGCAAACAAACTCATTGATTGTTTTTGGTTGGTTGGTAGAAGTGATTTGTATGGGCTGCTATTTATTGATTCCATGATGTGTATATTTACATATATATATTATTTAATTTTTTTATTCTATATTCCATTTATTAAAAATATATTGGCTGAATCTGGGTACCTTGTTAAGTGTATCAATTTGCAGACAGATAAAGCCCATTGTACTTGGGCCTATTTTTGGAATTGTCATTCAAACTAACACATTTTCAATTTTGTCTTCTTATCATTCCTTAAAAGGTGTTTGTGGAGAACAAAAGTGAGGAGTGATTCCAGAATGCCACAATCAAAGCAGTCTTTTTGGGCCCCAGAGCCCACAACAATCCTGGCAGTGGCTCTGCTTTTTGCACTACAGGTAAAATTGACAAAGCAACTTAAATCCCCCCTTTTTTATTATTTTGGTTAATTGTCTTTCATCCTTATGTTTTGTGAATATTATTTTCCTTATCCATCAATCTTCCACCACCTATCCATCAAGGTCACTGGGGGCTGCAGTAGTTTTTGACATGTCACTAGTTCATCACAGGGCAATATGGAGACATGCAGAGAGACTCAATTAGGAATTACCAATTAATCAAATCGACATGTTTTTGGTCTGTAGGTTGAAGCTGACTACCTGGAGAGAACACTCACATGCTCAGGGAAAACTTGTAGGCCTGGCTCAAACCTAGGACATTTTTGTTTCACTGCTTCACTGCTGCAATGCTACAAACACTGCCACTGTGCAACGCATCTTTAATCCAATCCAGTGTACATCTATAGTTTGCTGACAGTTAGCAGGTTTGAGCTGGAAACCACAAACCTCATACACTCTGAAGTACTCATTTAGGTTATTTTGCAAGTAAAATAAAGTGCCTTTATATCATGTGTGGTGTTTTTTGACAGTTTTTTTCCCAGAATATATTTTGCTAAGATTTTTAAAATAAATGTTCTGTTTATGTTTAACAATTACTATAGCTACTAGCTTAACTAAACCCATTCCTTCCTTTTTTCAATAGAACTGGATTCTAAGGTGGTAAAAAACTGTATAAAAATGAATACATTAGCGTATCAAATTTACATTATTCTGTTCCTATTGGCCAGAGAGGTGATATCAGGTGTGTTCCAGATGAGCAGTGTCTAGACTGGAATGTGGACGACAGCTTACGGCTTTGCTGATGGGTTGATTAAAAGTCAGCTGTGAAGCTGGACAGAGCTATCTGTACCTGAACGAGATGAAAGGCATCACGTTTGGGTTATGCAATTTCCATCCATCCATCCATCTTCCTCAGCTTATCCGGGGTCGGGTCGCTGGGGCAGCAGCTTAAGAAGGGAGGCCCAGACTTACCTCTCCCCAGCGACTTCTTCTAGCCCCTCAGGAGGAAGCCCAAGGCGTTCCCAGGCCAGCCGAGAAACATAGTCTCTCCAGCGTGTCCTGGGTCTTCCCCGGGTCTTCCCCCGGTGGGACGTGCCCGGAACACCTCACCAGGGAGGCGTCCAGGAGGCATCCTAACCAGATGCCCGAGCCATCTCAACTGGCTCCTCCCGTGAGTCCCTCCCGGATTACCGAGCTTCTCACCCTATCTCTAAGGGAGAGCCCAGCCACCCTACGGAGGAAACCCATTTCGGCCACTTGTATCCGCGATCTCGTTCTTTCGGTCATGACCCAGAGTTCATGACCATAGATGAGGGTAGGAACGTAGATCGGCCGGTAAATCGAGAGCTTCGCTTTTTATGCAATTTATTGGTGTAAAATACAAGTTATAAGTAGCCAAAAGTGTCATAGTTTCTCTGGAGAAACTGCAAAGAGGAGGAGGAATGTGATGATGGATCCATTGGTCATGCATTTAATAAATTTAAGGGTTTTTCGTCTACCTGCAGAGTTATTTATTTGGAGGAAGACTCACCCAGTTACAACAATGAACATGTTAAAATCCCTCCCTTAAGGTCATAATCAATGGAAAGATGAATTAAACTAAATGCATAATACGAAGCCTGGAAGAAAATCTAGTTGAACATGCAAAAGGTTTAGGCTGAGTACAGAGGTTTACCATTTAGTGGGTTAGCAACCCCAAACATATGACTGAGATACAAGGGGATTGTTTAGATCAAAGGCAGATAATCTAAATCTAATTCAAATCTGAGGTAAGGCTTGAGATTTGTTGTTTATGGAGTCTGTTTATTCAGTCTCACTGAGCTTGAGCTAGCAAAGATTGGACTAACTCTTCTGTCTCTCAAAGGTTGGTTTCACCAAATAACTTCCAGCCATGATTGTTGAAAAACATGTTTCTACAGATGTGACTAAGGAGTCCTTAATACGAATTAACACCCAATTTCAGATTTAGTCTTCTTTTTATGTATAAATATTTTTACCTACATTCAGATTATCTAGTTTGGACATCGTATATAATTTTCTCCTCTTATAATTCCTCTACCCTTTGTATTTCTTATTATACAGTAGATCTTCCTCTATTATATAGAAAACAGTTTAAAAATACTGAACTGTCATAACTGTTTTTTTGGAGATTACTCTTTTCTCTATTTGAAAATTGTTTTGTCATTGTATAAGCCAGTAACGCCATTTGCCATGTTTTGTATTTTATTGTAGCCTTGTTTGTCATCCCCCTTGGCTCTTTTCATTGCTGCTACTCCATCATTTTGTAAATACACAGTCATATGAAGGCCAAAAAAGAGAACAAACACGAATCCCCTGAGTCCACAGCATGTGTAATGTTTTTTTGTTTCATATTTTCTCTCGCTCCAGGGTGCTACACATTCTGCTCCATCAGGAGACAACAAGCTGGTTCGAACCACCAGAGTGAGAAGGCAGATCCCAGAGGGGGATCCGTTCCCCTCTGCTTCCTCAGTCAACCAGACTTTGAGAGAGCAGCCTCTTGTCTTTAACCATGTGTACAACATTAACGTGCCAATGGAGTCTCTGTGTTCTGTTGACCTGGATGCATCTATGGCTCCAGCCCAAGGTGACCAGCTTGTGCCTCTAATTAAGCTGAATCTTTCAAAAAATCATTCAGAGAAAGTATCTAACCATTTCATAAGGATGTGCAGAATCATGTTGTAATAAAATTTTTAAGACATTTTTTTTTCATTGATACATCATAGATTATCGTGCTGAGTTGGGATCCAGACCCCCAGTTGAGGTGGAGCCTTCTGGACCTACAGAATACACCGAACAGACACTTGATGCTGAGAGTCAGGTAGTCTTGCATACTTTAACCAATTTAGAGTTTTGTGTTGTTTTCAAATCCCAAAACTGTGGTTACTAAGGAGTAAAAACGTCCTACAAATCCATGAGCAAATACAAAAACTACTGCAAATACAGAAAATATGCTTGCAAACACAAATGAGACTAGCAAAAAGAAAAAGTTGACATACACACAAAACACATGTAGGAAAAGAGCTGCAAAAGACAAATGCTGCAATAACAGATAGCAGGGAGATGCAAAACGCAAATTAACTGTAAATGCAAAACCTGCTGCAAACACATTAATTATGCTAACACTGTGTCTTGCTATAACGTTCAGTGACCATCCAGTGGTGGGGTAGTGAACCCTTCAACTGCCTGGTCATCAAAACCATTGATGATCTGCTCAGTGACATAAAGTTGGAGGCTGACGAGGCAGTAAGGGTTAGAGTTTGTCAAATAACTTTTGGACTGTCATACTGTATGTTGTTCTGTTAACATATGCCCAACAGGCTGTGTGTTAGGACAACATATAAAAGCGTAATTTGAGCTCAAATGATAGTCAAATAGATAACTCTGCTATCATATGGAATGAATTCACATCAATTTCCATTCAAAATGTAAGAATTAACAAACATAGTTCAACTCCATGTAAAACTCTTAGTTAAACTTAACTAAAATAAGCCACTATGTACACAAAGAAAAAGAAACAGAAATTGATGAAAATATAATCATTAAATTGTTGCAATAATACCACAGTGTTTTTTCTTTTATTTTTGAGAACTAAATTTTATTTTGAATAGTTTGGAATGAAATTAATCAAATTAGCTTTGAACAAATTTTGGGCAACTGGAATGTCTTCAGCCAATTTCACAATGCAAATCCAAGAAGATAAATAAATAAAACATAATTGAGTCAAATAGTATTTTATTTTACTTGGCTAAATGAGAAATCAATAGATAAATTATTCTTACCCTTTTGTCATGAGTCCTGATGGAATAATTAATGTAAGAACCACCTCGCTTCTTTAACAAGATCAATGGAAACAATGGAGCTAGTAACTAGCAGAGACAAGGGAACTGTGATCATATGTTGGCAATCAAATGATGAGCATATCAGGAAATAAAAGTAAAAGTGAGGTCAAATATATGAGCATTGAGTCACATACAGTCACATTTAGCTTCTTTTTTTTAAGCTTGCTTCAAACAACATTAAACACCTAAAATGATCAAAAAATGTCGAACAAATAGAAAAAGTTTTCCTAAAATTGTTAGATCTTTAAGCTCTATGGATCTCAGCTTTGGAAAGGCAAGACTTCTCCAGAGTTTAGGAAACTTACCCCAGGCTGCGATCCTGGATGGATCTGATTTCAGATGTCCTAACCAAGAGACCTTTGTCCTTTGGTTCTAGTCTCTGCTATCTCTAAATCATTCTTCTTCTATATGTTCCTTGCTTAGGTGACATTTACTCATAGAATCAACATACCAAAAGCAGCATGCAGTTGTCCAGCACAAACCACAATCCAGCAGCTCGCCACCAGACTGGAGATGTTGGAGAGAGAGGTGTCCATGCTCAGAGCTCAGTGTGGATCAGGGTGCTGTGGGGAAGGCTCTGCCATGGGTGAGTTCTGTATTGCTGACAGCAAAATATTTAAATAAAACAGGATTTTCTGGGGTTTATTTAAATTAAATTTCCTCCTGCATTTGTTGTACAAGGGGTTTTATTTGAAGTAACACCATAGGAGAATGTAAACAGATACACAAAGGAAAGAAAAGCAAAGGAGGTGGAAAACATGAGGTAGACAACACCATATTATTGATTCTGGATGGCTGCTTATTTTTATCTGTGCTGTGGAGAAGGCTATGAAGAAATCTTTGATTCTCCTGCTCTCATGTTATGAGAGGACCAGAGTGAACAGGACCACTGAATAAATTATGTTTTAAGTATCTGCTCCAATGACACCATCACCCATTTCAAATACTCTCCAAAAAATGCTCTATCTCCATGGAAAGAAAATGATTTTCTCCAGCAGTCATGATCAGAATCACAAAGAGGATGACAAGCTTAGCAAAAGAGGATGGCTGTAGGAGTAATCTTATTGAAGCAGCTGTATATGCATATGTTCTAACAATTATTTTTGTAGTTTGGATTTTGCAGTTGTGTAATTGCACCAAAGTGTCTTTGCCTTTAATCTAATTTCTAGGTGATCCTGTTTTATGTAATCATTGATGTTAAGTAATCTAATACAAAATGGAATTGTTTGTATTAGATTCAATAAATTTTTCCATTAAATAAAATTCAATACTGTAATTTGATACACAGTGTTCGATTTTCCCCACAGGTCGATTGGACTTTGTCCCAGGATGTAGCAACCATGGAAGCTTCAGCTTTGAACTGTGTGGCTGCGTCTGTGAGGAAGGTTGGGGCGGCAAAAACTGCTCCGAGCCTCGCTGCCCGAATGACTGCTCTGGCCAGGGGGTGTGTATTGAAGGGGAGTGTGTGTGTGACCGTGACTTTGGAGGAGACAACTGTTCAGAGCCACGGTGTCCTTCCGACTGCTCAGGCAGGGGCCTGTGTATTGATGGGGAGTGTGTGTGCGAGGAGTCCTTCACAGGTGAAGACTGCATGGTTGGACGATGTCTCAATGACTGCTCAGATCAGGGAGTGTGTGTCAATGGGACATGCCAGTGCCGGCCCGGCTATGTGGGAGAAGACTGCTCATTGGTCTACTGTGCCAATAACTGTAGTAAGAAAGGAGTCTGCAAAGAGGGTTTCTGCGTTTGCCAGGATGGCTTTGCTGGAGATGATTGTAACTCAGGTAAGCTAACATTTTTATCTTAAAAAAAAGTGTATTGGAATGTTTGATTGCACTCTGTGAAGCAGAAACTCTCCTTTAAAAAGTACCTGAGAAAAAAAAAAAGAAGAAAATTAATAAACAATACAAGGGCTGCATCACCAATAACTTATTGGGAACATTTTCTTCTATGAATAAATTTTTACATTTCTTTCAGTGTAATACCAGTGCATTCTTGGTCCTAGGGCTGGGCGATATAGAAAAAAAGCTTATCGATTAAAAAAAATGCATATTGTTCGATATCGATAATCATTGAAAAGATTTCAAACCATATTTTATGTGCAGCTCTGCCTGGACATTTTATGATATTGCTAATTGATTTAATTTTAATAAAGAACACAAACAGACTTCCAATTAAATCTTTATTTAACCAACTTTTTTAACCATAACAGAATTGTTTTAAAGAAAAATAACTTAAAAGACCTGAGTTATGTTATTAAATACTGACAAAGAATAAACTAAAGTGACCAGAAAAGTGACCAAAATAAATATAACAAATAAATAAATGGACGCCCGCCCGCATTCATTTCGTTTCCTGCTTTAACCTGAGTTATTACTTTGAAGTTGCTGGCCCCTCAGCATTTTTCTCTCAATCGTTAGAACTACGTGGGAAACTGCCCAGAACTGAAAATATATATATATTTTCCCGAAATTCCCGAAGATTCCTCGGAGGACGACGCAGATGCGCGCCGGGGCCTACACAGCTCGTACTCCTGCGGGTGTGAGCGGCCGAGATGATAAAAAAAAAAGTCGCTTGTGTTATCAGACTTCGTTTTTACTGGTTCCCTACACATTTTACAGATGACTGTAGTTTGTTTTTTGTCCGACTTGCCATGACCGAAATACTGGCAAACTAGCGAACTACAAAAACCCTTCTTTGGAACAATTTCCTCCACCTCTCCTTGCTGCATCTTCATGTGCTCTGTGTTGTGGTTTGAGAGGGCGGCGCTTTGTGACGGCGTCTCTGGGTCCGCGATTGTGATTGGTTGGGAGGAAGAAGTGACTAGCATAAACCTACATGATAGGCTACAATGAGAAGGAAGGAAAACTGCGATTTTTTTATAGAACTTTTATCGACCCGCTTTTTCTCTATTGCGCCACACGTCTATGGATCAATATATATCATTATTGAATTATCGCCCAGTCCTACTTGGTCCTATGATAATGATTTTTAAAACTGTATCAAAAGTGAAACTGGGTCTTGTATTGTAGTTACCGTAAATTCTCTAATATAGGCCCGGGCCTTTATTTCACTCAAGTGCATCGCGGACCAGGCCTTTATTGGATAGAGGCCAGTATTAGAGACAGGCCTCTATTGCTATTTGAGCAAAACAGACTACCAGTGGAATGAATAAAAATGAGATTTTGTGTCTATTTGAACCTATAAAACACTAGGTTCATTTATTGAAAAAGTACAGTTACCATGTTTCGCTTGGTTTGAAGTAAAAAAATAAAATAAAAATCCTCCAATTCTGTTTAATTCTCCTCCTCAGTTTCCTCCTCCTCTTCATCTCTCCCTTTATTCTCCTCATCACTCGCGCTGCTCCTCATGTTCTGCTGCGTGTCTGTTCTCTTCCTCGCGCAGACGGGCAGCAGTCAGGGCCTGTCGTTCAGCTGCGCAGGGCTGTGGTACTTGTATGTTACTACCACAAGTATAATGTTGAGGTATGCCCAGAAAAAACGTTTATAGCCCCGGCCTGTATTAGAGACCGGCCATTATTTACCTCCTCTGACAGCGAGACCGGCCATTATTAGAGACCCGGCCGCTATTGGAATACAGGCCAATATTAGAGAATTTACGGTATGCTCTTCAGTGTCGCAATATGAGGCTACTTTTAAAAACTCTAGAACTTGGATTGAAATGAATATATACATTTTTTTTTCCCCCAAATTCTTTGCAGTTTCCAATAAATCTTTAGAATACAATAGATTCCCAATAGGCAAATTAAATACTTATTTGGTTTTGATAGGCCCATACCCATCTTCCACAGCTTGGCCACTAAATATTTAATTGTCTTTGATTTAAAGGGGCAGTCACTGAAATATTTTATTTTATATTCTACCTTGTTTTACTATGTTTTAACTTGAATATTGAATTGTCATTACATATGAGTTGGGTTCTATGACCAATGCCTTAAAGGTGTAAAAAAACCTTTTAACATATACAGGATTAATGTGATGGGGGGATAAAAGATTGCATTTGGTTGTCTGAAGATCCAATAGGTTTGATATTAGAGAGCAAAAATTTAAAGGGAAACCTGACATGAAAGAAAATGATAGTTGAAAGACATTGATTACTGATATGTCTCGCCTTGATTTCACAGGTACTGAACCACAAAAAAGATCAACGACTTTTTATATAGACTCTGCTTCGTATTGCTGTTTAGATTACTTTATGCAACCAGAACCACATCAATTTGTGTCAAAAAAATCTAATTAATGAGTCATATAGAAAAATAAAATACTTAACCTGCTCACTTTAGCTAATGAAGGAAAAATACTGTAATAGGAAAAAGTCACCAAAGACTCTTATCTAAATAAAAAAATATGTTGCGTTCAATAGAAGAAGAGATCAGTACGTTTTTATAGATATATATTTCTTTTTCAGTGAATCTTTTAAAGAAGTAGTCTTGTTCATTGTGATCAATAATTTGAAAAAGATATTAATGCACAGAGTGTGATGATGTTAAAGATGGATATAGATTACCGTAATAATGGCATTGGGAAAGAGGGACCACCAGCCTATGTAATGTTATTTTTACTGTAGGTGTATTTATGTTGCTCATGTATTAAGCAGTGTATGAGAGAGTCTTAACACGTCTCCCCTGTTAAGATCACCAAGAGTCAAAAATAACGTGAATTATGGATTTAGATTTGGTAAGTGTGCATTGCAGGCAATTCATTGTCGTGGTTATTAAAGCAGTTTGAAATGATTGACTGTTTCTGCAGTACCTTGCTGAAAAAGCCATTAGAAGATAAGTACGCTGTGGTTATACAGGACAACCATAGTCCTCGACAATACTCAGGGACACTGTGGTTCAGTTGGTACTAAGGTTCCCGGAGTTTGCCTCGAAAATATCTCCCACATCATTGCACCCTCGAGTGGTGGTGCTGGTGAAAGTTGCCAGCATTTGATCAACACCTCGCCTGTGAATGAAGTTGAAGACTCATCTCATCAAGTCATCATGTTCAGATTGCACTCAGTTGATGAAATGAATGGAGTCTGGTGTGCCATTGCTTGGTTGGAAAGATAGCATGCAGCCACACGGCCCTTTCTGGAACCAGTCTGAGACCCCTGTAGAGCATATACCTTCAGGTTCAATATTATTGTACATAGAAACAATTACGGTATCGTGTGTTTGGGTTTATGTTGCATAAAAAAAAGAAATTTTAATAACTTTGAATGAATGAATACATTCTTTCCTATTCTCATGCTGTAGGCATTTATTATAATCAAGAATGTCTGACTGAATTAAAATTGTTTATCACATTTTTAAACCCAAGGTCTTAGAATATCAGAAATTTAAAAGCAACTTTCTTCAGAAGCGTAAATGTGTTTTTTTTAGAAGAAATTAGAAAAAAATTTTTTTGAATAATATACGTTATGCACAAGGTAGGAGGGAAGATTACAGCTCTCATTTTCATGATTTTTAGTACATATCTAGAGCTGAAATTAAGCTCTTATAGCTATAAATGTAAGTACTGGAGATGCACGACTTGCTGGACAGCAAAATGTCTAACGGCATTCATTTGTCAAAAGTCACATTCATCTGGGGAGCCAACTGTCACATTAGCTGCAACTGAGACAGTTTCTGAGCCATGCTTGCCTTTGTTCAAAGGCAGCACTCTATGCCAAAATATCACATCCTCCTCTGCCATTTGAGTTAACCGTCAACAAAATGATGGATGGAGACGGATAGGGGTGTGAGCTATAAAGAATAAGGAAGGGAAAATGGTATTTGCAAAGTGGATTCTTCCATTCTATTGTCCCTGTTTAAAATCTTTACCAAGAAACGGAGTGGATTTCATTTTTTTTTTTTTTTTATAGTAATTAGGCACTGCTTTTAGAGGGGAGTTTGTTGAATACAAACGAGGCAGTTCAATAACCAGAGAACTAGAGGGTGATAGGCTTAAGTGTTATATGTTATCAGGAGATGAAGAAAACGGCAGGCATTTCTGCTTCAATTATAGTAGTCTATATCCTCTCAGTATGAGAAATAATGGACTGTTGAATTTAAATTGGTTTTTTCAGACACGAGGTGAGAAATAGGAAGGATATTTTTTATGTGAAAATACTATATACCTTTCTATGACACATGTATCAACCTATGAGTGGCACTGTGAGACTAGTCACAATATTTTCCAGTTATTTTAAAACTAGAAATAAAATGCAGAGCGTTGACAGGTTTTACATTTTTTACATACTTATATCAGTAATACAAAACTTTTCTATTCGAGGAGTACAAAATTACAAAGCTACGCCCATTCATGTTTGTTTTATAACTATAAACTGTTTTATCTCCTAAATGTATGTGTTATCAGTGCCCTCCATTTGAATAACTACTGTAAATTAAAAATATGTTTTCCTTTTGAATCAGGTAATACTTTACTTGACTTTCTTTTTGCCAAAAATATTAGTTTTTTTTCTAAAGCTTTGTACTCATATCACACAAGTAAATAATATTTGAAAATGAAGCCATGCCTATTTATTTCTCTGCGTAGAAATTTGATTTAGGCACTGGAAAAACAGAGTTGTGCTTGAGCTAATTACTGTGGGTCAACATGCATTGAGGGCGGAATGCACTGAGAGAGGAGTTTCTGAGTTATTTCTTAATGATGTTGGTCTTTAGAATACAATGAGATTGGCAGGCATTTGTTAATGGGAGATATACCACCCAGGCCTACTTTGTGCATGGTTCAAAAAGAATAAAAAAAGTATAGTATTCGATACCTGAAATGTTTGG